ATTAATATTCTAAGCAAAGAACTTTTACAAATTTTCAAATTTCTTTTGTTTCCTATTCAAAATTATTCACATATATCGATATGTTTTTGCTTGTTCAATTGTTCAACACTTGTTTAAATGAACTAGTTGCTTATGAAACTGCTTCATCTGTAATTGACTGCTCACTGTTTACTCCTTAATTATTTATTAATTTTATGCCTTGTTATTAACAACTTTTTAAATTACTTAATTATTTATATTTATTTTAGAAGCCTGCTCAGATTTGAATATCACATATATAATTTACTGGCTCATTTAGGGGGCTGTATTTTTGTTATTTTCAAGTTTTTGCGCTACCCAGCACTGTTTTTTAAGCATCTGCCGGTGATTTGAGGCAGCCGTGTACACAATATACACRCATTTTGCAAATAATTCCATTGTGAAATAAGTGAAAAAATTGCTACTAAAACGCCGAGATGAGTGGCGGAACAATGTTGTACGGAGGCGATGAGATCGGTGCACTAGTTTTCGATCCTGGRCACCATTCGCTACGCGTTGGATACGCTCAAGAGGATTCGCCCAAAGCTGAAATCCCTTCTGTGGTTGGCATTGGCACCAGCGCTCCCGACACGAATCTAGATCCCGAGACAAAAACAGACAACAATGTTACGCCAAATAGTGAGTACAATCAACATATTCCATTAATATTTGTATTATTTATATTTCCCTCATATTTCGTACCCCTTCCGTCGCTCACAATAGACGCCGACGCGCGAAAGTTCTATGTGGACACAAACTACGTGAATGTTCCTCGATCGCATATGGAGGTGCAAACATATATGAAGGATGGCATGATAGACAACTGGGAGCTGTTTGAGAAGGTCATCGACTATGCGTACGCAAACGTCATACAATCGGAGCCAGAGTATCATCCGGTGCTCTTCTCAGAGGCGTCATGGAATGTGCGAAATAACCGCGAAAAGCTAACCGAGCTCATGTTTGAGAAATACAACGTGCCAGCCTTCTTTCTGGTGAAGAATGCAGTGCTGGCCGCATTCTCTAGCGGACGTGCCACAGCTCTTGTGGTCGACAGCGGCGCTACACATACGTCGGCTGTGCCCGTGCACGAGGGCTATGTGCTCTCTCAGGCAGTGGTCAAATCGCCGCTTGGTGGCGACTTTCTTTCCAGGCAGTGCAGGCAGCATTTGGAGAAACTAAACATTGACTTGTCGCCCGTGTATAAAATAGCATCGAAAGATGTTGTCAAAGAGCGCGACAATGCACGCTTTACACTGCGAAAATTGCCCGAGAATCTCACACAATCGTGGCAGAACTATATGGTGCAGCTAATGATGCAGGATTTTCAAATGAATGTACTGCAGGTGCTGGAGAATCCGTTTGATGAGCGCGTCGCCTCCCAGATACCCATGGTTCATTACGAATTCCCCAACGGCTACCACCAAGACTTTGGCTCTGAGCGTTTCAAAATTGCCGAAAGCCTCTTCGACAATGCAATGCTAGGAGCGGGACAACTTGCTTCCACAAGTGTTGGAATGTGCGATGCGGATGTCCGCTTGTCGCTGTTCGGCTCTGTTGTGGTGACAGGTAGATGAAAGGTGTGCCCAAAGCAGCCTAATCTAAATACTAATTACATTTTGTCTTTCCATACAGGTGGCAATACACTGCTCCAAGGTTTTCCCGAACGGCTAAATAGAGATTTGCAATTACGGGCGCCGTCAAATACGCGTCTTAAAATGATTTCAGCGAACGGCAGTGTGGAGCGAAGGTTTGGCGCCTGGATTGGTGGCTCCATACTGGCCAGCATTGGCACCTTCCAGCAGATGTGGATATCATCGCAGGAGTACGAAGAGGCTGGCAAGAGCCAAGTTGAGCGCAAATGCCCATAAGTCAAGCTCGGGGCCAAGCAAACGAATTCCAATTATAATTGTAAAGTTAGTAAACAGATGATCATTTTATATGTAAACTAGTGCGCACCCACAACCATGGGCTGCTTTGTCTACTGACCTATTAAGGTCCCATCAACAAGTCTATAAATGTATTTCTTTTTAATTTTATTTCAAGAATTGTGGTTTGTCCYTTACCTCGAATAAATGACATGCCACTTTATAGAGATATGTTTAAAATATATTATACTTGGCAATTTTTGGAGATTMTACTTTATTTGGTTATGCAGTTCGCTAGTTCGATAAGATACCGTTCGTTTATTAGTGTTCAGACAACTCCTTCAAGATATACTAAAAAACATCGCTTGTTAAAGATTAATATTAGTCACTAAATATATTCGTTGTGCGGAAATGTTGCAAGTTTAGGATTGAGCGTTCGGTGACGGAGTATTGTTATGATTCTCTGGTTTTATGGTGAATTCTCTTCGTCGCTTACCAGGCTCCAATTCATAAGCAATGGATATTGAGTGAACTCTTGGCTCGTGTTTCTTTGAATACTTTGAGAAAATGGGCTGGACAAGTGGCTTTCGGCGCCGAATGGTATCTTTGGTTATTTGGGTGCATAGCAATAAAAAGCGTCACATGGCGCCAGACATAGTGTTGTTGCAGACGCATTGCTATAAATGGAATCGAGTTGAATGAAGCAGATTATAAAATTGTGCAGCTGTACATACCTTGGCATTTAAAATGTCCTCGGACCAGTCTTCCTTGGCAAT